ATTTCAAACAAGTATAGTATAAACTCTTTTTATTACTCAACTAGAAATCACACACAAAGGAGGTTCCGATCGAATTATAAATGGTTAACATGATTACATTAGTTATCTATTTGAATAATGTTAATACTTGTAAATGTTGTCAGGTATTCATGATTATAATTTATGTTAATAATAAATCAAGTTTTTTTCATAGCACAAGTGTTTATTACACCATATGGTTGGGCTATGAAAGTGTCAAATATTTATTGTACCAAGTATTATACAACATAAATATAAATTAACCATTTAACAAGCAAAATATTTTGAGTGAACAAGATAACAAATGCAAAACATGTCAGTATCAAATATTAAAGTCCATGATTAATTTACACTATACTTATTCTTACACCATTAGTGTAACATTTTCATCTTGACATAATCAACTTAACTAAACATAATGAAAGAAGAGAAACATAAATAAATAAGATAAGAACATAAATAAGATATAAGTTAACTAAGTAAAGAAAAGAAAATTAAAAGCATAAATGACACAACCAAAAGATTGATGTCTTCTCCCAAGTGCAGGAGTCGAAGTAATAAATAATTTGGCAAGACCGGGGTTGAACTACAAGGAGATTAATTGTATAAATTATAAACAACAATAGTACAACAATAACAAGAACAATAACAATAATAGTAGTAGTAGTAGTAATAATAATAATAGTAGTAGTAATAATAATAATAATAATAATGAAGAAGAAGAAGAAGTTGATGAGAACTTTGAGATAGAAAATTAATATGAGAATCAAATAATGATAAAAATAAATGTCAAGGTTAGAGGATCTACTAATGATATTTCAATCAAGTATCATATAAACTCTTTTTATTTCTCAATTGGAAACCACACATAAAAGATATTCGAATCGGATTATAAGTTGTTAATATGATTATATTAGTTATTTTATTTGAATAATGCTAATACTTGTAAATATTGTCAAGTATTTATGATTATAACTTATGTTAACAACAAATCAAGTTCCTTTCATAGCATAAGTGTCAGTTATACCATATGGTCGGGTTATGAAAGTGCCAAGTATTTGTTATACCAAGTGTTATACAATACAAATATAATCTAACTATTTAATAAGCAAAGTATTAAAAGTGAATAAGATTACAAATATAAATATTTCAGTACCAAGCATTAAAGTTCATATTGAGTTTATACTATACTTATTCTTACACCATTAGTGTACCATTTTTACCTTCACATAATAAACTTAACTAAACATAACAAAAGAGGGAAACATAAATAAATAAGATAAGAATATAAATAAGATAAAAGTTAACGGAGTAAAGGAAAGGAAAGGCATGAACAAGATATTAATAAAAGCAAAACTTAAGCATTAAAAAAAAATACAAAGAGAGAAAGCAAAAGGCATGATCTTGATCTGGAAACCAAGATACCTAAATGCATGGTAAATGCCTCCTTTTATAGGTGAAAATTGAAAACTATTGATTTAATGACTAATTAATAAGTGGGTGACCAACTCTTAACTTGGTGATAATTCTTATCTTCTTGTCTGCCAAAAACTTCATTGATAACATTAGAATTTGAATTAATTATGCATGAAAGTTCTAGGAAATTGTCTCAGCTTTCTAAAAAAAAAATTAAGACCATTTGGACTTCTAAAAGTCGAGATATAGGCTGAACATTGAACAATGTTTGGGTTGTAGGTTAGATTCGGACTTCTACGTTGTTGTTAAGATTTGGATTTTCAAACAGCATAATTGAGTCTTACCTTCTACATAAAAGTTTTAGGCCTATGTCTCAACTTTCCATCCATATAAAGTAAACCCAAATCCGAGATTTACAGCTCTATATATGATCCAATTACCGAATAGTATTCTAATTTGGACTACACCAGTATCTCTTTTCTAAGTTTGGTCATCTCTGTATCCTTTCAATTTCACTACTTCAACTCATTAATCAATTCTTTCATTTATGTGATAGGTCTGCATTTAGGATGAACATTTATTATAAATTAAAGGTATCTTATGGTATCAGACTTGTTATTATAAAACATGCTTTAGTTAAAGAGTTATTGATATTTCAAGTGCAAAATAATAATATAAAACCTTGATAAAAATACAATTTTAAATACTAATTAATAAACTAGAGATTAATTGAAGCAAAACTTAAAATTTTCAAAAATATTAAGAGAAAGAGCAAGAACATGATCTTGATTTGAAAATTAAGATGCCTAAATGCATAGCAAATACTTCCAAATACCTCCTTTCATAGGCCAAAATTGAAAACTATTGATTTGTTGATTAATTGTTAAGTGTATTGCCAAATCTTAACTGGTGATAATTCGTATCTTCTTATTTGAACAAAATATCATTGCTAACTTTAGAATTTGAATAGACTTAATTCGTGAAAGTTCTAGGAACACTATATAGTGTTTGGGCTACAGGACAAATTTAGACTTCTTCGTTGTTGCTAAGAGTTAGATTTCCAAATAGTAGAATTGGGTCTTGCAATCCCATAAATATTTTAGGCCTATATCTTAGTTTTTCATCTATATAGAGCAGACCCAAATTCAAGTTCTACAACTTCAGATATGACCTAATGACTGAACAGTCTTTCCGTTTGGACTGAACTAGCATATCAATTCTTTGATTTACGTGATAAACCTGCATTTAAGATGAACATTTATCATAAATTAAAGGTATATTATAGCATTAGATTTGTTACTATAAAACATGCTTTAGTAGAGTTATTAATATTTTAAGTACAAAATTCTGATATAAAACCTTGATAAAAATATAATTTTAAGTACTAATCAACTATGAATTGTTACAGTGTTTCCAACATGGTTTTTTTTGTCCCTTTTTTGTGTTTTGTTTTTAATTTTTAAAAAAATTATCTTTGTCAATTTTTTTTTTTAATATTGAGCTGATTGAGAATTTAACTTTGTAATTTTTTTCTTTGAAACACTAGATTGCTGTAGTGTTTTTCCATATGATTTTTTCTAAAATTATCTTTGTTGATTTTTTTTTAATATTGAGTTGGTTAAAAATTATAATTATAATTATAATAAAACTAAATCATATGAGGAAAGTATTGTTGTTTTCCTCACAAAACACTATAGATTGCTACAGTATTTATCTAAATGATTTTTTTATGATTCTTTTGAAAATTATCTTTGTTGATTATATTGGAGAAAATACTATAGTTTTTCTCATAAAATATTATCAATTGCTATAACGTTTTTCCTCATGGATTTTTTCCCTTTTAAAATTATCTTTATCAATTTTTTTAATATTAAGTTGAAAGAAAATTTAGCTTTGTTTTTTGTTTTTTATTAACAGAAAAGTTAAATCATGTGATGAAAGCACTATACTTTCTTTACAAAATGCTGTAGATTGTTACAAATTATTTTGTTAAATTTTAAATTTTTAATTATCAACACAATTTTTTTTATCAATAAATATTAACTCTATCATATCTTTAATTTTTATTATTTATTTAATGCTGATTTATAATTATACTATTAAATATATTTATTTTATAAATTCATAGTAGTACGTGCGAATGTCATCTCGTACCTGCTAGGTCTGATGAGGCTTTAGTAATAGTAATGCTCTTTTAGAGCTCCAGGGATCTTTTCCTGATCTAAAATAATAAATCTTTATTATTCTGTAAGAGTAAAGTCGACAAAATGTAAAAAAAAAAAAAAAAAAAAGGATTTTCATTTTCTCTTCTGAAACAGGTACACGGGGAAGTGATTTTTTTTTTCCTGTTCAAAGCATAGTAACTAGAAAAGCAAAGAGGAACAATTGCAATAGTTTCTATTCTGTGAGGAAATATTGTTATCAAATCATGACCGACTTTGAATCAATGTTTGTTATCATCACTGGGCCGTTTGATTTCACAATCGGGAACAATTGATGGTGCAATTTTTAATCATGGCCAAGATTGATTTCACAATCGGGAGCAATTGATAGTGCAGGAAAGGAATTGATAACGAAAGAAACCCATAAAACAATTCGTACGAGCAAATTCGGCCAGGAAATAATTCATCGAAGAAAGAATATGAGACTATGAATGAATCTTTAATATCTTATAATTCATTAATAGCTAGTTGAAATTATGAATGAATAGCATTTGAATTCAGAATAATGATATTTTCAAAACAAGATATTATTTCAAAAAGGAAGAAGAGAGTTTTATAGGCTAGTTAAAGTATTTATGTATAAAAATAAATTTTATTTGATCTCTTAATATGCAATTGTTTCAAATAAGATATTGAAATTTAATTTTATTATTTGATTTGATAAACATCAATTAAAATTCATTTTGAAATTTTTAATTTTAACTATTATATTTTATTTTCATAATAAGATATATTTATTTATTGTGAAAATTTAATATAATTAAATTGAATTCCAATAAAAAATCTATTTAAAGTATAAAACCTTCCCGATTATATTTTTGAGATTTGCCTACTTGTTTTTGAAAGTAAATAAACTTATTTTTACATGAAAAAATAAAATAAAATTGAAATAAATCACATAAGCCTTTATATATTTATTCACTAATGAAAAGTAGGTTAACATTTGAAATGAAATATTCAAGATATATTCTCATAAATACAAGATTTATTAATAAAAATTAACCAATAAAATCATGTCATATGACATTGGAAAAGGATACCCATATAGGCCCGGAACTTGATAAACAATATATAAATATTTAAATTTCTTAATCAATGAATATATTAAGTAGAATATGTATATAAAAAAATCTGATTCGAGAATAGTCAATGCCATCTCTGAAAGAGACTACGGAGGCCTCTCAAATCTACATCAAATAAGGTTATCTTTTCCGGGATAGATCAGCTAGAATTTTATCAAAGATGAATGCCAAATAAGTCAAAATAAGTGGTAGCTTACAGAGCCAACAAAAACAGCAGAATCACTCGGAGTTCAAGAAGATAAAGGCTCAACACCATCCAAAAGGTTCCCAGCAGCAAATCAATTAAAAAAAATTTGAACAGCATTGCAACAGAAATCATCTCAGAAATGGACCAAGCAACCCAACAAACACACATGGATTCGTTGACAGTTGCATATGGGGAATAAAGCTCATGAAGAACAATAATGATTGAATCAGAAATTCAGTTAGCATCCAACATCAAGACACTAAGGGATAAACATGATACTACATAGAATTCAGCCACCAGTGAAGAACAGCAGTAAGCAAAGTCCAGCATATGTAATCCTGTAAAGAAAACAATGATACAGTGTACTATTATCACCTAGATGTGTCTATAAACAGATAGCTGAGCAGATGGCAGAACAGTTTCACTGCAAGTCTGCAACACATGATCTAAAATATCATTCAGATCTTTAAATCCACCTCAACCCCAAAGAAATCAGCATAAGTAAGTTTCTTAGCTGACTTGCTTATGATCTGCCAAGGGAAATTCATCAACTTGTTTCTTTCTTTCCAGTTCATTAGCATGCGCATTGAGCAATTCTTGTTCTACAACCTGCTTTCAGAATAGTTGACAAATGAACAACTAAATATATCAAAGAATACATAATCTCATACAAACTAAACGATGCTTTTCACTGGGAAACGCAGGTTGCACTGCAGGGGCAACTCGTTTCCGGACCCTTGATCCGAATTGCTTTGTCATGGAACTAAAATAGCAGAGGCCACTTGGATATGGGAGAATTAAGAGCGAATGTTCACAGTTCAGGTCATCTTGAAGAATTTTTCAAACAAGGCTGAGACTTTGAATCTTAGCATGCAACAATTTATCCCAAGAACAAAAAATTCATAAACCTGTCAATTGCTTCTCAAAAGCATAAGCAACAAACCTCCAGTAACTTCTTTTGGTTTTTCGCCTGCAGGTAAGTAGAAACTGTGTCCTTCTCATGTGTCAAGCATTGGCTAACCTAAATTTCATTGAGAAAGACAGCATTAAATGAACCCTCGGCATTAGTACTGTAAATAGATACTTCAACTGAGAAATGGAAGCAACATTAATACCACAAGCATATATTCATTGTACGATTTCTTTTGCATCCAATATGAAGCCTTTTCAGAGTAAAATGCAGCAGTGTCCTTGAGGATTGCTTCTTCAAGGTTTTGCTTATGCTGTTTTAATGAACCTACTCCATTCTCTGCATTGATGGCCAAAATACTTTTCACCAAGGCCTGATCGATCTGCTCACCCTCACGTTCCCGATTGATCTGAATATCAAAAGTTCTACGATTTCAGACATTACTACAAGTGCAAGGGGTTTTAGTGAACAAGTCAACTATTTCAAAAGGGATTCTTCAAGTATACAGGCAGAGTCAATCATGATAATGAGTTACTGCCTACAAACAGTCTACTTCAATTATCATACAGAAATAATCTAGTGAAAGTATAATTTACCATTAGCTAGTGGGGATATCAGGACAACAAGATGGAATCGAAAAGGTTCTCGTATAGGGCTAATCCAGAGCATATGAAACCGAACATTGGTAACTAGAAGTAATTAAGATTTCTAAGACAATCAGTTGTTCTTCTTATGTCGAACTATTGATCTATAGAGTTAATGTTATTCATAAGAAATCGACATGAAAGATATTTCTTGCTCATGCCCTGTGATCGCAGAAATGCTATGAATTTGGTAGAAAATCTAAACGTACCATGACTATCATAGCATCTTTTACTGGGCCAAATGTCTCAGCATACACCTGAACACAAAATCAAACTATACATCTGGGGAACAAGAAACCAGTACCATGATTCAGCTTTGTGAAAAGATTAAGAATTTTCATTACTAATAAAATATAATCCAATTACCAAATAATATTCTAATTTGGACTATACCAACATCTTTTTTTCTAAATTTGGTCATCTCTTTGTCTTTTCAATTTCAGTTCTTAAACTCATCAATCAATCTTTTTATTTATGTGATAGACCTGCATTTAAAATGAACATTTACCACAAATTAAAGGTATCTTATATTATTAGATATGTTATTATAAAACATGTTTTAGTTAAGGAATTATTGATATTTCAAGTGCAAAATGATGATATAAAACCTTGATAAAAATACACTTTTAAGTATTAATCTCCTGTTTTATGAAAGCAACTTGATTTATTATTAATATAAGTTATAATCATGTATGCCTGATAATATTTACAAGTATTAGTATTATTCAAATAAAATAACTAATGTAATCATTTTAACAATTCATAATCCAATTGCAATCTCCTTTGTATGTGGTTTTCAATTGAATAATAAAAATTTATATTATACTTGTTTGAAATACCATTAGTGGATCCTCTAACCTTGACATTTATTATTATAATTGTTTAATCCTCACATTTATCTTCCATCTCAAAGTTCTTATTAACTTCTTCTTCTTCTTCCTTTTCTTCTTCTATTATTATTATTATTATTGTTTATACAATTAACCTCCATGTGGTATGATCTCAGTCTTGTTAGGTTATTTATTACTTCAACACTCCTACACTTGGGAGAAGATATCAATCTTTTGGTCATGTCAAACTACTAGTGTAAATACCAACAAAAATTTTCGTCGCTATAACTGTTAAATATATTAGTGCCTGTAATATTTCAACTCAATCCAATATATAATATAAAAAATATATTTGATCTCATAAAACTAATCATAAAACTAATCGGTAAATATTTTAAAACAAAATTCAAGCCTAATTTGATTGGTATCACATAAACTAGTAACTTCTATTTTATTTTATTTTATTTTACTTGCTAAATGAAGGTTCGTTCTTCACTCATTTTTCATGGGCACACTCTTGACCGAAATGATATTCATCTTCGCACTCCACACATCTTATGAGTGATTATGCTTCATTATGAATCCTTCATTTTAAGCTTCCATACAGGATTATTTTTCACTGTTATTCGAAGATTTTAATATAAGGACGATCATGGATAGTATTGTTCAGGATCAGTGATGAAAATGGGAACGACGACGGTAACCTATTTCCGTGGACCGTGGTTGATTGTTCAGCAAGGAGAGAATGGAAAAGTAGATAAAAAAGGAAAAGATCTAAGAAGAGATTTAATTCATTTCTTTTGTTTGGATTGTAAAACTACAAGTAGAAAGGAATGGAATGGATCGACAGGAAATTAGAGGGGAAACCAAACCTCCCAGTTTACTTTTGTTCATAAAACATTTCTGCTAAATGGAGAGGAAAGCAAGGGGGCAAAACAATTGACACTATTTTCCACAAAATATCTTCCAAAAAAATACCCTAGCTAAACTAAATTTGTCTTTAATTAGCAACCCTCTAGTGCTAGCTTTGTTTCCCCATATATACACATTAGAGCTCTGATTTCTTATGGTTTTCTCATTAACAAACACGATCTCTAAATATTGCTTTACAGTACGTGGTCCCTTACTCCCCAAAAATTGCTGGTAAGAAACCCTAACCCTAGGCATTTACTTCAACCAATTTTCAACTTCTACTGGAATAGATACTACATGCATGTTTGTTTAGATGTAGACCTCTGTGTATGAAAAGAAAGGAAGTAGAACCCTAGAAAATGGCCTGATAGAAGCATGCTTGGATGATGGTGATATACTTGATGCTAGAACTAGATGTAATTATGTTCCAAGCAATAAGATCATAGATGAGATCCAAATGAATGAACTACAGTAATTCCTCAAAATCAACAAGATAAGGAATCATTATTCGTCAAAATAAATGAACTGCAGTATCAGCTAAACCCAATAATAAAATACATCAAAAAAGCTATTATCTAGTAATTGATATCAAACGAACGTTACAATTCAAAAATTTAAGTCATAAATTATATGAATTATTGGAAATAGTTTATTAACCCAATAGTCAAATACATTAAAAAAAAATGAACAGGTAGTAATAACTGAACCATTTCAATTTAAAAATTTAACTGATTAGGTGAGTTTTTCAAAAAAAATATAATATTATTCTAATCTAATACAATCCAACTAATATATATAATGTGTGATCAGAATATAATAAAATTAATGGTGAGAAAAAGATGAAATTTATCATCCATAATTTCTGATGAAAATTAAGCATGCTTGTGTTATAAACTAACCTCATACTTGTTGAAAACTGATAAGGTAGAGCAAAACCCAACTCTAACCACTTTCCAGACCAAGATCAATCAGAATATAAGCATATAGCAGCAATGTTTACGTTTCCCAGCTCAATAGCAAAATCAATTCGATCAAAATATTGATCTACCTTTATCCCTACCAAACAAGCTAAAGTTTCTTTCAATTCATGGAATATTATGCTGAGAAATGAAGATAAATCTAATCAAAAGGCAACAAAGTAGCTAGCCATATGTATATGAATAAAGGAAAAAAACCACAATAATCTTCCCACCTAATTAAGACTATAATCATTGTAGATTAAGCTAAAAATATTCATGTCTACTCCCGATCGATCTAAAACCTTAAATGACTTTGTAGGGCACCGATTCACGAATATCCCACATCATATCAAACTTGAATAGAGCTGGAATTCATGAACTACATCCTGATTCCTTGATTAGTTCTATATGACGAGGAGGAGGACGGTGGTGCTTCTTTTTCTTGATCAGCAATACTAGTATTATTAGTGTTAGCAGGCTTCTCTTGATTAGCTCTATCTCCTTCTATCTCTCTATATCTTTGAAGATACCTTCTTAGTGGCCCGGCATAGTCATCAAAACCTAGGGCTCCCATAGCCCAGCAGACATCATCTCCATTCACGGTTTTGCGCCTTTCCTTTCTACACTTCTCGGATGCTTCACCGGTGACAAAGCTAATAAACTCAGAAGCACATTCTTGCATCGTTTCCTTGGCTTCTTTGGAGATTTTCGCGTTAGGCGGCAGAATTTGCTTCATGATCCGTCCAACGTTGGCTATAGGCAACAACTTGTCTTGCTCCAGCTTGACGCCGCCATCGTCACTTGAAGCACCAGCACCAACATTATCGACCATGTCTACCTAGATGCAAAAAATTTAGTCCTCCTTTTTCCTCCAACCTAGCTAGACTTGCCGTTTGGTTGGTCAAAAACTCATCTTTTATATTGCATATACATACGACATACGTACATACGTACATAAATACAGTAGGGTATGTCTTCTTGTTCGAAATAGCATGTGTGAAGCCGACCACCTGGTTAAGTTGATTCACTAGTGGGCTCCATGTATACTCAATTCATTGGAGCTCATAATCCTAAATATTTAATTTGATTTTCGTGATTAATTAAGTCCGCTTGCTCATACATATATATTATATATATATATTGACAACCATGCTTGACTGTACTTTCGATTATTATAATTTTATACCAGTTTACAGGGTTGTGCTGTAAAACAGTTTTTAAGGTAAAACAAATGTTAATATAATAAATAAAAAATTTGATATTGTTATTAAATTTAATTGAACAAATCAATGACTTAGCTTCTTTTAATTTAAAATTAAATTATATAAAAATTATTTAAATATGATTCAGTCAACTTAATTGATTAAAAAACAATTTATTCAATAAAAATATTATTTGATTTCTTAAAAAATTCAAAATAATCTATTTTTTTTATATTGAGACGTTAATATATTAGTTCAATCTAGGTTTTGTGACAAACCTTTTAAATTCACGATCTAAGTAAGGGATTTCATTGCGTGTAATTTAATTTTTTTAAAATTATGTTTATTAAATTATATGATAAAAATATAAAAGTTTGTAAAATCAAATACAAACTAAATGTTGTGATATTAGTTTCAGACGGTAATAACCTCATAAGAAATATATTAAAATAATTTATAAAGATAAATCCAAAATTAAACAAATATTAAAAAATAAAAAACATAAAAAAGGAAATATAAAAAAAAAACCCAACTCATTGTTTATATTAAATAGTAAAGGCTTAAGTTGACTCTAACTCTTTTAAATATATTAGATAATTAATGTAAAAAGTTTTAAACTTGTATATCTATATTATTGCCAAAAACTTTTTTATCTAAATTTAATTAAAACTTACGCTATCAACTGTTAATGTGTTGTCATGCAGTTAATTTTATTAATTTAATATAAAGAATAGAGATAGTAAAAAGCGAGGTTGAAACTCTTAATTACTTGGATTAAAATTGTATTACCACATCAAAAGATATTTTAATTCAAAAATATAAAACGACTCCTCATAAATGATTTCTGATTGGTTCAAAGAACCTTTAGCTAATCCACATGTTTTTACAGCTTTTACTCTTTAATGTTCACCAATAAGGAGAGACCAAGCACGTTTTAGAATAATGATACGTGCTTTAAGCCTGTGAATTATTTAACACATCGTGTCTCCTTTTGGATTTAAACCATACCCTAAGGCTCATTGGCTAGACGTACCCTTATATATATATATATATATATATTCACACACACACACACTCTCAAGATTGCGTCATGCAATGCGACAGCAAAGGTTTCCTCTTAATTAATGCGTGTAATTTTGTACCTTGTAGGGTAGCGCAAGGTCTCAACTTTGGAAGATGTGATGATATTGAAGCCATGGCTATCTATCAAAGAGCTTCTTCAAGCTAATTTGCGTTGTGCTATATCCACTTTTCTTTTGGCTCCACATGCTTCATCTTGTAAGCTTCCATTCTTTATGAATTAATTTAAATACACCCGCAGAGTTTTGGCAATACTTTATCTTTTTTCACATCTAACCAGTTTTTTTTTTAATTTGACAATAAATAATATTTTCAGATTAATTAATACATTAATGGGAACTAGTTTTCTTGTTAAGCAATACTCATTTTGGAAATCATTCCAACACCCCCATTGCTAGTTATATGTAATGGCTTCATTAATTATCTTTTGGAGTTTGTATTAGAAAGAACAACCTTTCATGCCTAGCCATTCAACTTATTAGTTTGATTTTCCACGTGAAAACTTTTAACTACAAATTAAAAAATTTATACATGTATTCAATTAAAAAAATCAAGAATTATATATAATAATAACTTATAATAAATATATTAATTTCAATCAAAGATTAAATCAAGAAGTTAAAGATAAATATGTAACATTTTAAAGAAAAAAAAGCTGGATGTTTATTTCAATTTGAAATTGGGTTTTTAAAGTTTTAATAAGTTTTAATTAATAAAATTAAATTTTATTTTACAAAATAAATCATTATATCTATTATTAACATCGTGAGAGCCTCATATAAAGTTAATTAAAATAAAACATCAAATCTAATTTCAAGCAAACTTAATGAAAAATAATTAAATAAAAAATATCAAATAAAAAAAAATCATAATTATTGCAATCCATATCGGATTATATCTTGCTTCTTTGATATATTTTTATCATAATTTTTAATATTTTCATCTTGTATTGACTGGCATGTTCTTAATTTCGGATGCTATTTTATAATTTATTGATGATTGATTTAATTTGTAAAATCGAACAATAATTGTTAAATAAAAAAATCATAAAAAAAAAAATGCTGATAGATTTTTTTTCAAGGAGCCAATAAGGAGATGCTCATAAAAAAATTGGAGGCAGTAAAAAGGTCTAAAGGACCGAGTAAAAAAAGGATTTAAGGTGACATGTATTGATAATAATTCGTAAAACTCTTCTATCTTTTCTTCTTGTTACTTGTTACTTCAAATTATCGTAAACAGAAACAATATACTTGATTGAAATCTTTACGGTGAATATTTTTCTTGTTTTGTTAATCAACGCTAGCTGTTTATATCATTTGGAAACTTGTTTTCTTTTCTTTAAAGTATTATACATACCCATTGAATATTTTTTATTTTAATTTCTTAATTAATTAAACCATCATTTAATTACGAGGCGAGTTGCTAATTAATTTCACCCGCGGTACTTTTTTTTTTGTTTTACAATAAGACATATCTTTAAATTAGATTACACATGTCAACTGAGATTAAATCCCTCTTTGTTCCTCCATAAATTCAATAAAGTTTATTGAAACAGCTGACCTTAAAATTTCTGACCTAGATTATCATGGATGAGACACGCCTCCTTTAACCACCATGCATGATAATCCCTTAAGATCCATATGTTGATATCAATCAGTTCATTAATTTCCACGAAATGAGGGAAATAGTACAATAAATCCTTTAATTAATATAATGGAGAAATTTTACCTCCATATATATCCGTCATGTAAAAAAAAAACCTCGTATAAATCCAAACAACCATAAATTAGGTTAACAAGTGGACTTTATATATATAATTCACTCATGTCATGATGATATGTACAATAAGGATTCCACCAAGATTAGTCCATTAAATTAAGAAATGTTTACTACAAGTGGGCGTAACAGTATGCAATGCTTCTTCTCCATCATGAAAAATAACTTAAATGTAAGCATAAAATAACAACCTGGCATTTTAAAATGTTCCTAGAACTTGGAAATATCTATTCAATTTGAGAGCCTTTTAGAATATATATAGACACACACTATATGGTTTCCTCTTCTATGGCTTGAAGATTCTCATCCCATTTCTTTGTCACATATGATCTCGTTCTGGAGTTAAAGGATATTTGACCCACTAGGGTTTGGAGCAAAGCATAAAAAATTCTGCCATGAACCAAGTTATCACGATTTAGTCAACAAAAGAAACAAATTTGTTTCCTGACGTGCTACCTGTTCCAGGCTATTTGGTAGTCCAGAGGTGATGAAAATTAACACGTAAGAGGTTTAGAAATAAGATTGATGGGTGGATAATATGTTGATTTCAAGTTTAAGCAATCTGATTTATTTTTTATAATTAAAGATATTTAATAATTTGATATAAAAAATTTTAAAAATTAATAAGTAATAATAGATAATATCTAATAAGTTAAGTGAATAATAATTATAGTAATAAAAAGTGGTGACTAGTAAGTCCACATGATCGAAAGCTATGGTAATAACTGGTAGTGTCTAGTAAGTCAAGTGACTGATAACTATAGTAATAACAGGTGATATCTAATAAGTCAAATGATTAGTAGTAGGTACCTCTTAAATATCTTATTTGATGGATATGGGGACTCTATCCATTGATAAAGTTTGTAACTTTATATAGAAAGAAAGTGAAATGATATTTTAGAAAGATAAACTTTGAAAATATATATGCTAAAATATTGAGAATGAAGAGATTATGAACCTTTGACTTGAATAATTCATAATGTATTAAAAGCTCATGAATTTTATTTTTTTATGGAGATGAGGGGCTAAAATATAGTTTTATCCTTATGATAATTTAAGTTATATTATACTTAAAATAATACATATTGAAACAAAATAAAATATTGAGGAACCGACATTGAGTTTTAAAAAAATTATTGGTGAAAGTTAGGCTCGGACCCACGAGAAATAAGAAATGAGTTCATACGCACTACCTAGACCCAAGCATATTGGGCTTAGGGAGTACTCATGAGCCCAAGCCTATAGGAGTATTGAGGTGCATGCCTTGTGTAGGCTTGGGTTTCTTACTGAAACCCAAGCTCCATGGGGGTTGGGGTTGGGATTGGGTAACGAAGCTCAAGCCTAAAGGGTTTTTTTTTGTATATTTTGAAAGAATTTTTTAGATCCATTTTTTAGGGTTTTTTGAGTCCATTTTATTTGGATTCATCAAGAGATAATATAATTATTATAGTTGGAAGTAAATTAAGATGCGTCCCCCGTATTAGCTTTTGATCGATGGTTTGCTTAGATCTTTTGAGAAAAAAAAAAGAATATTTTACATTGACAAGGAATCTTAATTAACTATATCTATACTTCTACTTGGTATTTCATTTTATAATTTGATGATGTTTTAAAATTTAAGATGCTCAGAGATATGGTTTTGTTGATGGTTGGATTATAAATTAATCAATTGTTCATCCAATTAAATCCACTCTTTATAGTAAAGAAAGATACCTCTGGATGAAAGTCTCCTGGTACTTACATAAAAAAATCTTATTTGAGTGGATTTGAAAATCTTCAAATGCCTAAATTAATATTTTTGTAAAGGAAAATTAACAAATATATAAGAACATTAAAAACAAGGTTGTTTGTTCTTGTTTTTGTATGAAATGAATGTCTTATAAGAAGATGGTATATGTATGCATGAAAATGGAAATTGTGAATCTTTTATCTAGGTGATTCAGGAGGTGTTTTTACCTTATAAACCTTATTGTTTTGCTTGAGAGAGAGAGCTAAAAAAATCAGCATAGCCTTGTAGTATTAATAAGGAATAAATATTTTTTACACATGCATTAATATTAAATAAATATCCCTGACATAAATATAAAAAAGAGACAAATATTTCTTACACGTGTTTTAATGAAATGAAAATATGACAAGTCATGAGAGATTTTTGTACACAAGAGGTGCATATTGAATAAGATCTAGGCAAAAAAAAATAAGAATTTGATAAATAAAAAATCCTTCAAGGAGAATTGTTGGGTTGAGTGCTTCTGTGTGCCTAATATTTTGGTCTAAAACATGTTTATGGGTTTGGGCAAACTAAAAATCATATTTATAAAAATATTGATAAATCTTGGTCCATCATAATTGTTATAGGATCATATTGTTAAGTCATAATTAATTTCAATACAGAACCCAAGCCAACAAGAGCGGAGCTAAAGAATGAGTTACTTTTAGAGTCCTGGCTTTTTTAAACTACAATTATAAAACCTAGATTGACGAATTGATTTAATATTAACCTGAAATATAGTCCATGTTGAGTTTTTTTTAATCATTTTAGAGGTTGACCTAATTAAACTTAGGTGATATGACATGTTAATATGTGATCAGATTACCCTTGCCAACCCCGATTAAGACCCAATTAGGTCCACTCCTAGGGTTTTCTTTTCAATAATTGTCTAAAATGATATATTTTGTGTTTTTTTTAAATTAAAATAATATCATTTGAGATAAATCGAGTTTGACATGATGACCCGTGAGGTGATCCAAAAAACCTACAATCCAAGTTGTTTTTAATAACTATATATGCTTTAACATTTTAAAATTCTCTAGAAAGGTTAATGTTTACATTAGGTTTTTAGCCGCACCAAAATACCGGAACTATATGCTTTCTTGGTAGAAGGTGGAATTTTCTGCATCGTTGAAATTGAAAGTATATTAGTTAGTGCCTTTACTAGGAAAGGTAGTTCAAATACAGTGATTTTAGAGAGATTTAATCGATTTAAAAGAATCACTAAAAGATATTTAAAGGATCTGGATAATTATTCCTAATGATTATTTTATTGACTCACTTTTCTTCTTTATAAAAGAGAAAAGCTAAATCATTATAGTATACTGATAACATAAAAAATTATAAGGTTTTTATTAGTAAAAAAACAGGTGTTAGGGAGAGACAAAATGAAAAAGGATGTTAAAAATATTTTCAACATGGATTTCTTCATCCGATATCGTGGCATGATTTAATTATATTATTTTATTTGAGCATTACACAGAAAATATTATATTGTTTATTCTTACAATTAGTATTTTCAATCCAGGGACCTATGGATTATGGTTCTACGATGAATACAAATATATGGATTATGTTTTGATATTAAATCAATTTGCCACTTAATGTTTTCATGAATTTTGGTCGAGTTTCATTGAACTTGGACAATATTTATATTCCTGCTAACACTAAAAAGAGAATTTGACCTTGACTTATATTTTATATTCAAATCTTTTTAATTCTAGCTTGCACTTTAGTGATTATGAGCCTACACATAATTAATTTTGTTAGTTAAATGGGTTGCTAGTTTCTTACTTTGGTTTATTAATAAAACAATTAAAATTTATACTAGTCAATATAATTTTATTGTGATTATAAATTACGTATAACTTTATTTGTGCACATTACGTTTTAGACTTAACAATGACTAATTTGGTTTATTTAGGTATTTATTATTAGAGACATTAATACTTAAAAATTAAACATGTCATAACCCATAACCCATTTTTGAGTTATTCTCCAATTCATATTTTTTTTCTTTTTAAAAAATACAAAAAAAAATATTATAAAAAAATATGACAATAAAAAGAGGAAGTTATAGCTCCCTAAAAATAGTTAAAAATTGGTCAAGGAAGTTTAAAAATACAAATACTATTTTGTTAACTGATGAGAGCCCTGTTAATAAAAAAAAATTCAATTTAACGAAGAAAAGTCCAAAATTAGATATTTATGGACTCAATTAAATTTTATTGAAAGTTTAATTGAATTTATGGAGAGTTTGATTGCAAGAAAAATTAATTTTGGAGTCAATTTGGGATTTAATTGGAAGAAATTAAAGTTTTGGGGTCAAATTATAATTTTTGAGAGTTAATTTATTCAAATCAGGGGCTTAATTGCATAAATATTGAAGTTTAATGACCAACTAGAGATTTAGTTGAATAAATCCAAAACCAAGGATCAAAATAAAGAATACACGTAAATAGAGGGGATGTAATTAAACCGAATTAAGGGCTAAATTGAAAAAAAAATAAAAATTTATTACTTACTTGAGGGTCAAATTGCATAAATTCAAGATCAAGGATCAAAATAAAAAAGACAAACAACTTTAGGGACGCTGTTTGATTTTTGGTAGGGGCGCAATTGCATTGATTTTTAAATCAAAATTGAAATTTAAGACTTGATTGAACAATTCACAAATTAAGAATTGATTTGGACTTTGACATGTTTTGCTGCCTTTTTTCTTTGAAATGCAATGGCGTGTTTTGATCAAAACGATGTCGTTTCATATATTGTTCATTAAAAAAAAGAAAAGAGAAGCCTGAAACGATGCTATTTTGATGACACTGTGGGATTTCTTCTTCCCCTAAATGCGCGAGGCAGGGGAAGAAGATATATCTTCCTCCTGTTTTCATCGACTTTCTTCCTCTTAAAAGCATAAAAAAGACGCCGACCAAGGACCCACTTACTCATAACTTTCCACGTGTTGGAGAGGTGATGGAGGGGCGACAACATAGTGGTTGCCCCGTCCACTTTCTCCCCTGTTTTTTGCCTATAAAAACAGGGGAGCACAGACGAAAAAAAAAAAAAAGGAGAGAGAAGGGAGAGGGTAGAACAGAAAAGAGAGAAAAGAAAAGGAGAAAAGGAAAGAAAAAAGAAGAGGAAAAAACAAAGGAGGGAGAAGAAGAAGAAGAAACAGCACCGCTGGCCACTATGCCTCTACTGTTGCCACCGCCGCAATTGCCAGAAGCACCTTGAGCAATTACAGGTAAGCCTCCTCCCCACTGTTTGTTTCCTTGTTGGCGTCACCTATATTTTTGCATGCAAAACATGAAGATTTCATGTTCTACTACAAAAATACAGCATGGGTTGGTTAATATGCTAATGTATAGTAACCAACCCATTTGGACCTGGTTGGGACATCACCCTAGCCCACAGTAGATGGGCTGCATCCAACCCAACCCAAAAAGGGTGTGCTAAGTTCGGCTGAGTTCAGTTTTTTTTAAAAAAATAAAAATATTTGCTTCAGAATTTGAAAAAAATTTTGCGTAGCTTTTATGTCATTTTGAATAAAATTGGGCAGTAGTTTTATGTCGTAAAAATATAAATCCGGTATTAAAATATCTAATTCTCTTCAAAACTTTCAAAAATACAAAAAAAATTGAAAAAGAAAAAAAATATTTTTGTATATACAGTCAAGTGTCTCAAAGCTAAAAAATCATATTGTGTTTTTCATATATAAAAAAAATAATATTTTAGCATGCATTTTGGCTTTAATACTTAGTTTATTAAAGTCAATAAAACATTGGTCATAATTGCAAAGACAACAAAAAATTTATTTTGTTTTAGTATCAAGAATTATGAATTTATATGTAAAATGTATTCCTGATATTAATTTTTTTTTTGTTGCCAACATAGAACAATTAGGTTTTTTTATCCGATAAGATAAGAATCTCCTTACAGATATAGACTTTTCTTAAACCGTAGATAGACCGACAAAGTTTAGACACCACAATCAAACCTTAGATTTTATCAGACAAAACAATACAACTTACCTTAGATAGGGTATAGTTGAGGTGCTAATATATTTTCTTTATGCAACTAGTCTCTGCACCTCATCTTTGAGACTAGTTAGAGTTCTTAGTGACTACAATACTAAGTGGCGACTCTCATTCTAATTTTCTACTGATAAGAGACAAGAATTCATTGTCTCTCCATGTTTTACCAGAATAGACTATATATCTGTCTATGATATATAATTTTTAAGTGGTGGACGATCATTGCGATGTCGCATATATACAACAAAAAAATACTTAATAAAAAAATTAAAAAATATTATTGATTAATTTAACATTGCGAGATTTATTAGTTTAGTTCTTGCGAAGGTGACCTATACTAGTCAACCTTATTATAGGTGTAAAAATATAAAAAATTAGTCATAATTTATGACATCTCACAATGATTTCTTGAAAGGCAATCATAAATAGAAAAATGAGAATAGCCCACAAAAAAGTCATATTTATTAGTTATGAACCAACTATATAAAGTGATATAATTTTTATTTTTAGTTGTAGTATATACCAAAAATAAGACAACCATGTCTAAGTAGTTAGAAATTATATCAAATCTATAAGGTGATTAATTTTTGTGTACTATAAAATAGATAATGTATACTATTAGGTTTTTGCCAAAGGTGAACCACCGTGACATGAAAAGTTCAACAATTTAGAATTATAAAATTCTATATTATAGACTTAGACTTCGTTATGAATATGTTTTTCAAGTTCCAATCTTAATTTTCACTTTGTTGCCTTCAAATGCTTCAAATATTATGGTTCTCAATGGAAAATGAGCAAGTCCAATTCACACTACGAGTGTTGGTGTTAAACTAGTAGGAAATTGGTTTAAGATATTTATATATTTAGATTGTTAAACTAAAATTATAATTTACCCATATGAAAAGAAGTTAGATCCAATAATAATATTTGAATATTTTATTGGTTATCCAGATAAGTTTAAAAAATAACAATTTTATTATTCCAACCATAATATAAAGATAGTTAAAACTGAAAATGTCAAATTTTTAGAGAGTGGTGAACTTAATGGGAGTGATGAATTTAAAACAAATAAATCTTCAAAAAATAAAGGTAAATATATCATTATTTTCATCTTCTCAAAATATTATTGTTCCATGCATATTGTTCTTCGCCAGTCCACTCAACATGTTTGGGAGATTGAACAACAAAATGATAATATTACATCATTTCAAGAAAATATTACTGCTAAAAATATTGTAGAACCACTATAACAAGTAGTTTTGAGAAAATCTCAAAAGAAAAGAAGATTTGCTATTTCAAATAATTATATGGTGTATTTACTAGAATTTAATTTTGACATTAAAATTAAAAAAGATACGGGTTACATTTTTACAAACCATAAAAAAGTAATGATTCTAGAAAATTAATAAATAACATGACATGAATGAAAGGTTAAAGTCAATAAATGATAATAGTATATGGGATCTTGTCAAATTTCCTAATAAATATAAGAAATCTAGTTTTAAATGGGTTTTTTAAGACAAAACATGATGTAAAAAACAATATCAAATGATATAAGGTAAAACTTGTTATCTAAAGTTTTACTTAAAAGAATGACATTAATTATATGGAAACTTTATCTCTAGTTTCTAAGAAAAATTCCCTTAGAATTATTATGTTCATTATAGCTTGTTATAATTTATAGTTGCATTCAATTGATGTGAAAAATGCTTTTTTAAATAAGACTTGGATAAAGATATTTACATTGAATGACATAATGGTTTTGATAAAAAAATAAAATTAACATATTATTAGAGTACAGTGCATAAGATAATTATAAGTGTAAATTTGATTACTAAATCTATAGTTAGTTAGTTAGCAAAGTTAGTTACATGCAGTTAAGTTGTTATAGCTGCATATATATATATATAACTAACTAACTAAAGCTGAATTGAATTGAATAATAGAAAATAAAGAGCATAATGAGAGTTCTCATTTTCTCTAGTCTCTCAAATAGTTTCTCTACATTTACAACAATAGATACAGTCTAACAATGAGAACATGAATCCAAAAATCTCAGATTTTGGAATGGCAAGAATGTTTGTTATGGATCAAGCTCAAGATAGCACGAGTAGAGTAGTTGGGACCTTGTAAGTATATACTGCCAGTCTGCCACAAATTTTCAAATTATAATAAATTGATAGGAAAAAAATGAAATAATTTATAGTAGATTTTCTGCATATGCAATAATAGATACATGTTAACATGGTATCAGAGCTCTTAATTCATGCTTGAAGATCCTCTCTAATTGTTTCCGCATACTCTCTGCTTCTTCTTCTTTGTATTATGCTTTCTCTGCTTGACAATCTAATAACCTTTCAATGGTGAGTGTCTCACAACTTCAACTTCTACAATCTCCAATCACAACTCTCATTTCTTCTATGCCTACATCAGTTAATGTCAAGTTGGATGATTCCAATTATCTTAATTGGAATTTTCAGATTCAAGTCTTACTTAAAAACAATGACATTATAAGATATGTTGATGGATCAACTCACTATCCACCTTAACTCAGCTTAACTTTATGCGAATCTGGCATCACTTCTTCTCAAAATGATGAATTCATAGTATGGAAAATGCATGACCGAGCCATTATACAATTGATCACTGCTACATTATCACATATTGCTATGTCTTCTGCAATTGGTAGCACTAACTCCAAGGATTTGTGGAATCGACTGAAAGAACAGTTTTCAACTGTATCCAGAACTAGCATTTTTTAGATGAAATATAATCTACAAAAAATCAAGAAAGGAGCAGATTCGGTTTCACAATATCTTCATCGTATTAAGGAAGCTAGGGACTATCTCTCTACTGTTGGTGTATACTTTGCTGATGAAGATATAGTCATTCTAGCTTTAAATGGCTTGCCTACTGAGTATAACACATTCATATGTGTTATAAGGGGGCGTGAGAGTGTGATCTCCCTACATGAGTTTTGTTCATAGTTACTTGCAGAGTAATTGATTGTAGAAGCATCAGCTCATTCTCCTCTATTGACAGCAATGGTTGCAACTACAGGTTTTCCTGTTAATCATAGCTCATTTTCAACTGTTAATAGAGATTTTAAACCTTATAATGGGAACAGAAACATTGGTAGAGGTCTGTTTAATCAAGGAACTAGACACTTTCACTCTAGACCGATGTTTTCTTCTATAACACATGAACGCCCACACTCTAATCTTGGAGTTCTTGGTCGTTCCCCTAATCAACAGTTTCACAATCATTCTGCATCTATGATGCAAATCTGCCAATTATGCAATACTGAGGGCTATACTACCCTGTTTTGTCATGCTTCCCCTTATCAAAAACCCAAACGTCATATATATGGCCGCCTTAATCACACTACCTGGTTTTGCTTTTATAATGACAAAGGACCAAACTATATTGGCATGCATTCTACTGCTACTTATCCTTCTCAGCAGTTTTATCCTACACAATCACCAACTATGCAACATTCCTCATATCGAGCTCCTTCACCTCATCCCTCATCTTATTTACTCAGTTTTTAGACTCTCAACCTACCATGCAAGCCATGCACACTATGCTCCACTCTACACCTACAACATCCAATTCTTTAGGATCATCTCAAGTATGACTCATTGATTCTAGTGCAACTAATCATATGAAAACTGATTTGAATAATCTAACATTGGCCTCACCATATCCAATAGCTGACACAATTCATATTGTCAATGGTGAAGGTTTGACAGTATCTCATATTGGTCAGTTTATCATCAATTCTTCTATGTCTTCACTTAAGTTAGATTCTGTGCTACTAGTTCCTCAATTAACTCAGAATCTATTACCAGTCCATCAGCTATACCTTGATAATAAATACTAGCTTATTTTTTATGCATTTTGCTTTTGGATTCAGGACAAAGCCATAAGGAGGATTCTTTATAGAGGCTTGTGTAGTAATAGCCTGTATCCTATCCATGCCTTTTCATCCTCATCTTCCACTTAGCCTTTGCCAGCTCAGGCATTTCTTAGCCAACTTGTTCAATCTAATCATAGGTTAAGACATCCCATAAATTCTGTTATCTCCATTATGCTGAATAAAGCTTATATTCATGTTCCCAAAACTTCTTCCCCTATGATGTGTCATCCCTATCTTGCAGGGAAAGTTAGCAAATTGCCCTTTCCTCAGCATCATCATAAATTCACTTCTCCCTTTGCTACTATCCATACTGACTTGTGGGGACCTGCACCATGTGTCTAAGTGGATGGTTATATAAATTATACTATCTTTGTTGATGAATGTACACGTTTTTGCTAGTTATTTCCCTTAGTCAATAAATCTTATTTGTTCTTTATGTTTGCTGCATTCTATTCCTTTCTTGTTACATAATATTTTGCTACTGTTAAAATTCTGTAGTTTGATGGGGGGAATATACCTGCAATCGTTTAAAACAATTTCTTCTTGACAAAGGCATTGTCCATCACCTCTCTTGTCAACACACCCCTGAACAAAATAGGGTAGTTAAGAGGAAACATAGACATATTATGAAAATCACAATCACTCTATTGCACACATTCAAACTACCATCTCAATTTTGGTCTTATACATGTTTAACAGCTAAATATCTCATCAACCGTATGCCAACTCCTATCCTTCTTTACAAGTCTCCTTTTAAGATGTTATTTGGGTCTTCACCAGAACTTAATCACCTTAGGATATTTGGTTGTGCATGTTTTTCTCTTCTTCATCCTTATAATCATAACAAACTGTAGCCCAAAACTTCCAAGTATATGTTTCTTGGATACCACATCAAGTACAAAGGTTATTTGAGCTATCAAGTGCCTACTCTATGATTGTTTGTTTCAAGACATATTATATTTGATGAAACACAATTTCCATATCTTGAATTCTTACAATCCTCGCTCACAGCTTAGTCCTCACCATCCTCTTCTTCCTCTACATATCTTGTGCTTCTTGTTAATATAGAGAACACAATTATTCCTTCCAGCCCTGGTTCCCCTTCCCACTATACACCTAGTTTATCTACAGTTTCTCCTAGTTCTCGGTCCATTACTGCTTCCATTCATGCTTCTTCTCCTCCTCCTATGGCGCCTGATATCAGTATTAGTCCTACTACTTTTAATCCTAATAACTTGCAAGTGGTCATGTCCATTC